ATACAGATTATTTTTGCATCGTAGAACTGCAGTCATCCTGGAGAGTTTTAGATCCAGATTTACGTCTGTGTCTAAAAGACTTAATTCGGTTAGACTCTTCAATTCTGGCTTAACTCAAACGTCACCCGGCTCTCTACCATCTCATCAGTCGTGAAAGTTAAAATGACAAACCTTTTCCAGTTAAGGAAGCTTGTGAGATTCCACTGTGTCTTCATCGTAAATCAACCCCAAGTACTGAAGGACAGGGTTCATGTTTTGAGACCCAGATGATTACGGACACAAGAGGTGAGAGACAACTTGAAGAGAGGCAAAATATTAGCGTACAAAAGGAAACGGGAAAGGTTGAAGGAAGAGCAGCTGCTCAGTGGACAGGCTCCCCTGTCAGTTCAAAGTTATAGCAGTATTACTTTCAGGATAATTTACTTATGGGAATCCTTGGTGCTCACACTGTGCAGTTTTAACAGCTTCAGCTCTTCCAAGAAGGCTTTGCACAAGGTTCAGGAAGGTGATTATGGGGATATTTGACCATTCTTCCAGATGAAGCACACTGTGAGTTCACACACCAACATTGGCCAAGCATGCCTGGTTTGGAGTCTGTGCTTTGATTCATCCCAAAGATGTTCTGTCAGGTCGAGGCTCCGTGCAGAACAGTTCCATGTGTTCGTGACTCTTGCTTCGTTCGCTGGTACACGGTTACTTTAGAACAAGAAGGGACCATTCCTGAACTTTTTCCAAAGACTTGGCAACAGACGATTGTCTGAAATGTTTGTGTCATGAATTCCTTTCACAACAATCAAGGTACTCCCAAAAACACAGTCCATGATCCTCTGTGAACTAGACTTTTCATTTGAGAGTGCAGGTAGGTCATTACTGTTCTCTTGCCAACCCATGTCTATTGGATCACTGGACAGAGACTTAACTCTCTGTCCAGTGATCACATCTCCGCTCATACAGAGTCTAGTGGTGGCATGCCTTACCACAATGCACCCGACACTTTCCATTCCACTTGGTGTTTAACATATGATTGATTTATTTTCAAGAAACTCAATTTTTTACTGCTTGGTTTGTGCTTTATTTGTTCTTTATTGAAAGTTACGTAAGTTTTTTAATGTTTACATGTCGGGTAACTGCACAGTATCTTCATTTTGTATGTGAAAAGTCAGATGTATCGATCGCCCTTCGGTCATGTCTGTGGTTTCATTGGTAAAATTAGGTTTTTGTCCAGGAGAAACACTCTGTTGTATTAATAATTTATGTGTTGTTTGCTGATTCTGCTGAAATCAAATATAACCTACATCATTGGGGAATGGGAAGCAGTGATTTTCTGCAAATACGTCGTTGATGACGAGCAGGTCAAGATTCTGTGGAGCCATTTTAAGAGGTGTTCCTGTTATTGAAATTGCTGAAACACACATATGACAAACAGGGGAGTGTCGATGTACAGACTTGAAGAGACCAGACCTCCCTGCTACTTGGAAACAGGTGCAGCTCACTTCCTTAAGGCCAGGTTAAAAGGTCTTGAACTGAAGCGCAGTGTCGTGGAAAACGTGGATTTGACTCCGAAACCCTATATTTCCTTACTTCTGGAACAGATATTCTGCTGTTCTGTATGCTTTTGTTCCTTACTTCCAGCTTCAAACTCCCCAGCTGCCTCTGAGTCAGCCTGCCTTCCTTAAACCAGGAAGTCAGTTCATAAAACACACAAGTAGCGTATTGAGTCATTTAAAAGGGATAAATTCATGCTCTTTCCGAATTAGTGGGTTTAATTCAACAAAACACAAACACAAATTTGTGGAGTGGGTCCAAAACTAATTACAAAAACAAAAAAAAGCCTACTTTCCACAATGACTCAAATATTTTAAAAAGAGACTTTTCCAATCCAGTTACACTCTACGTGCAACAATTGAGATAAAAACAGATAATTTTTTAGTTTTTAGTGGCTCTGTGTGAATTGGATATGTATACCGGAAAACATAAGAATAAATGCACTTTGTTCCATTTGTCTCCATTAAATTTCAAACAAAAGATACAAAGGTGAACAATTGAGAGGAATATGAAAAGCTGTCTAAGATGTGCTACAGTTGCTTTTTGCAAGTTAATATTTCAGCCCTGCTCTAGTTAGTCTTGCTTGGGCTCGTCTTTCGCGTTTTGATAGAATAGTATGTTATAGTAATGTTATTACCAGCTGCAAGCGTAGATATCACAATGTTTTTGATCACAGCCCTCAAAAATGGGATGAAAAACAATATATTGTTGATGTTTTGCCTTCTTTTAAGCTTCCAAAGAACAGGTTGTACTGACTGGAGAGCGTCAAAGTTACACGGGAAAGCGTCTTTTTTTTTCTTTTCTTTTCTTTTGTTGTCACAATAGATTAATTTGTAAATGCAGAATTGAAATATTACAAAGATGTTAATAGTTTCAAATATTAGTTAACTCAGATTTTACTCTTTTGTTACATTTTCAGCCAAACAATATTTATGATCTACGGGGGCATGTGTCCCAAATTACATCTAAACTTAGTCTTGTTGCAATGGATCCTGACTGATAAAGACAACATTACGCTTAATCAAAGCACATGAACACAATTTCAACCTGTCAGTGGGATGCTATGCCTTACAAGCAAGAAATACACTCATCAAGTGAGTTTTCAACACGTTCTATGAGACGGACTCACACACATTTAGCCCGCAGTGGCGAAATGGATCAGCTCTCACACAACTAAATTGTAAACAAGTTTTAAGTGACAAAACTGGAATGTGGAAAATGCTCTCATAATGAGCCGTTCAACACTTCAGGGCGTTTTAGTTCCTCCGTTCAGGAGATAACTGATCCGTCTTTTGGGGTGAGTGAACTTGTCAGTCTCTTGCTTGTTTTAATTTCCGTGTGTGTGCGTGTGCGCGTGTGTGTGTGTGAGCATGCGTGTTGTGTACAACGGTGGATTTTTGAAGGGAAAGTGGATTAGTAAAGATTAGACATATAGAAAAAAGCACTGAGAGTTACAAAACAGAAAAAGCGAGAAAAGCCATAAATCTTAGCTTCTGCGCTATCTGTCTTGTCAATAACATAGTCAGTGATGTGAAAGGAACAAAACTACACGTTCCAAAGTTCTTGAAAGGTAAAAGACTAATATATGAACACAAGAATGTAAAGCTATGACTTTGTTAGTAAAACATAAAAGAGTAATAAATATTGATTCTCATTCAACACAGCCCACATCCGAATTGCAATCCTCCCCCATAGTGCAATATGACCTTAAAGCGTCATAATCTGGAAGCAGTCGTAGTAAATTGTGCTATAAATTACAGTACATGAGCACTTCAAACCAAAAGATACAGGCTTTAATTTTGGTTTTGAAAGCAACCAGCAGACTTCAGATCAAGAGGCAGCTTGTTCCCGGGACAAGAAACAGATACGTTAAAAGCAGCTTTGAAGTAAAAATCTGCTAAACAGAGAGGAAAAATTGGGTGATAGAAAAATTGACACTCACAGTTTGGTATTTAGTCCATGAATATTTTCAGCAGAAACAGTTAAAACACCTGCACAAGGTGACGTTTGCATCTTGTGTTTCTACATTGAATAATAAACATGCATTTTGGTGCATGACGTAGTAAACGCTTTGGCTGGAGGTTTATGGAGACTGTATGAAAGAAGGTGATTAATTTAATCTCAAATATGACGAATAACTTCCATTTTTATGTTTAGAATGTTGGCATTTTTTTAAGAAGCATTGTTATATTTAAATTTAAAGCCATCATATTTTTAAGATTTTACTTGGACAGTAGCAGCACAAGGGATCCAAATAACTGTTGTTGACATGATGCAAAATATGACACATTATGACATAGTAAGCAAAAAAAATATCTCAAATTCTGCAGGTTTTATGAGCAATGACATTTGCCCCAATGCCCTGGTATTTTATTATGTATTTTTTAACAAAGCAAATGAGTTTGCAAAGGACAGAGCTGTCAGTAGACACAGTCATCAAATATTTGCACCGACAGAGTTTACAAGTGTGTTAGCAAACCAAATAATTTTATTGAGTTTGTCTCCCTGATGTCGAATGCATCGTTTTACGTCCGAGCCTTTTCGATGGCTTCGTCCAGGAAACTCAAAAACACCAAGCCAGAGGTACCTTTTATGGGAAGGAAACACAAAGTTAATAGGAGCAATAGCTGTGTAAACTATCATGTTCAGCAAAGAGAAACAGCTAAACACACTATGAGAAAGGACAAATACAAAGAATATAGACGCCATGCAAACAGCATTTCTGTCTGTTTGTGGAAAATACATAACAAGACACTTAATCACTGGGCCGGAGGTATTTCTAAAACACATATTATGATAGTTGGTGTTAGCAACATGTCTGTATGTCAAAGATTTATATTGGAAATGAAGTTTTTTTTCCCTTGTTAATTAAACGTATCTACTGTCTTTAAATGGGGACAGATCAAAGGTCTTAGCGGAAACATGTCAGACAAAAAGTCACATGGCACATTAGGTCTGAATGCATTAACTCATCTAATTTTCTCTTGTCACTGTGTTTGACACGATGAATGCAAGAAATGAGCCGCGCACAATGGTTTAATTGGATCAAAAACTGGTACGGCTACACCTGTCAAAGTCAGACAAAAGTACCTCATTGTGACAGAGAACTTGCAGGGTCACATACAATGATGGTCTGTGCTAAACACACCTCCCCACACACCGAGCTGCTGTCTCATTTCCTTACTTATGAGATTTTCTGTCATCCCGGCAATCTACTTCCTGGCCCGTACCTGTTTGCTACCCAGCTGATACTTGTGTGAGTTTGTCTGCTATCCGATCGGTGCTACACGGAGTCACACAGAGTTCATCCAGTGAGAACAGGAAGATCTGCCAGGACTGTCAAGTCTTAACAACTTTACAGGGTAGCTCACACACTCATAAACACAATGAAACAATAGCCTTTGTATTCCCCACTTCAGAAAGGGAGACATTTTCGGTCTTCAAAGAACGGAGCTGCTTGGAACGAGAAGGATAATATTTTTTGACCCTTTTGAGCGTTTGAGAGTTTCTTGGTGCCACATCTAGCACACTTTATTCTATTCCCACCCCTCGTGTGCCAGCAGTTCCTCCGACCTGCCAGAGAACGGGCGTAAAATGGTTGAGGCATTAATCACGGGGGCGCAAGATCACGTACTTGGACAATGTACGAACCAATTTCCCGCAGGATCCCTCTGCTGGAAGTCCCCTCGTGAAAGACGAGAATGATCGGGTCTCTTGCTTTAGTAAGGGCTTCATTCCACTGGCCTATCCCCATCAAAGGCCTTCTGTTTAAAGGGGGAAAAAAACAGAGTCCAATTTCTGGGCCTCCCACAAGCAAACTCTATAGAGGCCCGGAGAGAAAAGCCTGGACTGGGGAGGCGCTACATGAGTGGCGGCCAAGTAAGAGAGCATGGGGAGTCGGTAGAAAGATCTGCCCAACTAATGGTTCTCTCAAGAGGGAGAAGAGGAATGTCTTGTGAGGGGGAGGAGAGGCTACATCAGAGGGACATTTGTGCATGAGTTTGTGATATTTGTTGGAAGATGCTAAGTGTGTATGTGTCGAGTTTATTTCCTCACAAAGCCTCCATTAGCGGGACCCTGAAGAGAGAAGCATTCAGCACTCCATCCATTATGCTCAGTCAGCTGTCATATGCGTGCTCACACGTATGAGGAGGGACGGTGCTAAAGTTACTCATGTATGATCACAGCCATGTACATGCAACAAACACACATTAAGGCAGGAAACCATCAAACATGTCACCGACACAGACAACCAGGATTAGAGGAGAAAAACTGATTTCTCCCAAGACGCAAAATATTCACCCCAGATGGAAAATAATTTTTCACAAGTAATAAATGAAATAGCTTTTCAATATTTGTCTTTTAGTCGAAAATATCTGTTACTGTATTTAGGTGTAGCAGAGATGGACAACAAAATGACTCTCTTACGGCTCCCTCTTATTATTTCTTGTAAAAATAAAACAACAGAATGAAAAAGAAAGTAAATGTCAAGAAAATCCTACAGGTGTGTTTATTTCCCTCAGTATCTCTTGCCACTCCGTGACCTTCAAGACTGACCTGGCGACCTCTTGGTGTTACTTAATGCCAAGTTGAAAAACATTTTCCCTGGAGCAAGGCACCTGTAACAATGAAGGTACTCACAGGTCAGTAAAGGTAGACAGGGAAATTCATTGTGCACGCGCTGTGGTAGGCAGCTGCCAGGTGCGTGTGTGTGTGTGTGTGTGTGTGTGTGTGTGCATGGGTAGCGAACATAAAGGGAAAGCTTTGAGTGGGAAAAAGCAGACACTGCACAGCAGCGTTTTGTTTTAAAAAATTCGACAGTATTTACCTTGATTGTTATTAATAGCCAGTCGGATCTGATCATCATCCGCGGGGCTGAATGACTGTGGAGGAATAGAGACGTGAAAATGTTCCTTAGCAGAAATAACCATGCGAAACCGACACTCGGAGCGCGTAGGTCAGGTTTCGCCGCTCTGACAACTGTTGCTGTGAAACCAGGGAGGAGAAAGAAAAAAAAAAGAATCCAAACCTAAGAGAATCGTAAAGTCAACACACAACGGGGTTTGAAAAGGTCTTCACTCCCTTTCATTTTGTCTCATCTTGTCATGTTACAAGTACAAACATCAATGTATTTTGCTGTGATTTTATGTGATTGACCAAGATAAAAACATCACAGGTTTGTGAAGGAGAGGGAAAAAGAATGCATGGTTTTGCACATCTGTAACGTGTGACCAGTGTGTATATAAGGAGCATGAAGGAATGGCATCTGTATATAACATCTGACTAAATATAGTATTTGTGCAGCAATGATGACCCAGTGTGTTATGAAAGGCACGCCACACTTTTCAGATTGTTTCCCCCTTTAAATTTCAAATTTTTCACTCTACTATGCATTAAAGTTGGGTACCAAAACGTGACAAAAAGAAAAAAAAAGGTTAAAAATGAAAACCTTGGTAAGGCGCTTATCAGACAAAACTAGAAATCTGATTCCTTGGTTTGGGACATTAAAAAAAATCATTAAAAAATAAAAGTTTCAACTAGAAACGTTTAGTTTCATTTTCTGTGTTAAAGTCATTTTTTCGCCCCATTTTCAATGTGGTGAGGAGAAAATCATAAAACGCACTGACGTGCGTGATATATAAAGCATACAGTGAATCAGCGCAGAGCTGAGTAATTTGATCTAATTCGACCTTCAAGTAACCTCTCGTATAAGCTGGAATGACACCCATAACACAGATCTGGGAATTCCCTCACCAGCGACACACACACACACACACGCACACACACACACACACACACACCCCATATGTGCACACGTTTGCGAGAAATATGAAAACAAAGCACATCAAATTCCATTTCAGAACCGACCCACAGAGAGATGAGTCACAAATCTAAGCTCTGAAATATCAAATGTCACTACGCCATGTTTAAAAAACAACAACAACAAAACCATCACAGTGTGTCTTTAAGAATTTCTCTCTCGCTCTCACCTGAGCCAAAGGGCCTGGGAACAACATGCGTCCCCTCGCTGACTGATGGCTCCTGGCCCCGAGGCTCCGCCTCCAGGTGAGGTCTGAGTGTCTCGGGTTTCGCCGCTCATTCATCACCTGCCGTCGCCTCCTCAGCCTCGTTTCTCCATAATGCGTCTCCGCACACGCATGTGCGCACAGACACGCTTCGGCGCACATGCAAGGTTGTGCAAAGTGCAGTCAGGTTCATTTCTGCAGCGTATTTCACCAACAGCGCAGTTGAAAGTGGTTTTAAATCATAGAAAACATCACGCTGTCACCAATTATGAAACAAGCATTTTGTCAGTTGCCATCATCAGCATCAAGCAAATGCACACCAGAGGCAGCTGTGGGGGTTTTAGCTTAAAGGATCTCAGGGTTGAGGCAGTTTTGCAGTTTTCTGGAAGTTTGTTCCTACGGATCCCCTCAGGGGACATGGGGAATTTTTGTTTTTTTCTTTTTTGCTTACTGCATTCGTAGAGATCGAACCACACATGAGAACGGCCCCTTATTAACCATTCAGACTACCGGCACAAAAAAACGACACAATCAAAACTGTTGCATTTGATTCATAACCCAGTGATAATAACTCAGAGGTGACCCAAACATTTTGGACGTATTCTTTCTCTCTTTCCTTTTGACTGAAAATTTGTTCACATTGCATTTTGCACATGGGTTTCGTGGTGCATTTCTATCCTCAAGAAACTGATCAGTACATTATTATGAGATTGCGAGGTCATGCAAAAGAAAAATTGTTCCCCATGTCCCCTAGGGGCTGCCATATGTTCCAGATAAGAGGATAGAAACTGAATGCTGCTTGCAAATGTTTGACAAGAAAAACGAGTGGCTGTTAGCAGAAAGGCACAAGTATTTGTATACTCTAGTTAATTTATAGAAACACAATGAAGCAAATATGGGACTACTGAAGATGAAAACCTCCAATACAAACCTTATAATTAATAAAAATTCACACACAGTCGCAGAGTTGAGGAGGCCCGCCTGCGTCCTTACATGTCCCTATTATAGTAAAGCTTCTTTTCCCAAGGTGAAAAAAGGCTGTATGAAATCTCACAGCCTCGGGTGGCTGCAGCTCTACCAACACCTGCTATGAAATTTACAACTATTCAAATGAGCTGGAAACCCTGCAGTTAGGGCAACTGCCACCTCGATATGTCATTTTAAGGTTATCATTACTTATTTGGCGCTCCATCACACATCCTGCAACTGGCAGAAATAAGTGCCAAGCCTGGTCTGATTGTCTGTTGACTGCACCGACGGGATTGTAAAACATGTGAACTGGGGTCAGGTGAGTCAAAGAAAAAAAACAAAAAAAAAATAAAAGAAGCTTTGCTGCACCCGGTTTTATCGAAATAAAAACACAAAACCCTGATGTCATTACGTTTTCTTATTCTTCTCTAACTACTGATGTGACTGCAGTGAGCGCAACTGGATTCATTCAATGCAGAGTTGGCTAACAGAACCTTTTTTTTAAAAAAAACTCTTTTAGACGTATTAATAATGCAACAGCTCAGTTTACACTTGTGCATTTTCTCTCTTTTTTCCCCCATTTTGGTTAGATTCATGTTCTCATGACAGTTCATTCTCATTCTTGCTTCATTTTGAAATATGCTAGAATTATCCAGGGCGCTGCGGTTCACACAGTTGCCTTGAAGCAGGAAGGTTTCGGGTTTAAATCCCAGCCTGAGGTCTTTCTACATGGAGTAGCATGTTCTCCCCAAACATGCAAGGATTCCCTCAGGTACTCTGGCCTCCACCCAACAATCCACAGACATAACTGTTAAGGTCAGTGTGTTACTTTAAGTTTCCCTGTTTTGTGGGAGTGATTGAGAAAAATAAATAATTCTAGAAATAAAATGTATTAAAAAAAAAAAAAAACACCATAATCCAATTCAGCTGATTTTGGATTAATCAAAGAGCTGGCTTATCTTGAGTATTTAGGTGAAGAAAATCCATCTGCATACCTACAAATAAATTAATGAGGGAGAAAAATAGAAGCAGGGTGTTTTTAGCACACTGGTCTACAGGTTAAGACCAGATGTTTTTGTAGGTGAGGCTGCAAATGAGCATGTGCCACTTTGCCTAAACCAGACACTTAGTCTCTGTGTCTTTAGTAAATACATGCAGGATGAATGATGAGAAAATGAAACAAAGGGAGACAGGGACAACGTTCTCAGCCAATTAAATGAAAGCACCGCGAAACGGGCTCCGCAAAAAATGTGCAAACTGAAACGACTGACTTCAAGTCACTCATTTCCTGCAGTGTCCAGGCAAATAATGTGAACCTCAACCGAGGCAAAGTTTAGGAACGGCATTACTCTGCAACCGGTAGAATCGGTTTGCGAATCGTGTTTTAACGTCTAAAATTGTGTGTGGGTGTGTGATTGTGCCTCTGCCGGCTTCTACTTGTTGCTGCAAAAGCAACAGCAGATCGCAGGTTTTGTTTCAGCAACTCTGACATCTCGTTAAAAGATGAATACCCTTTTAAAGGACGAGAGGATTTAGTTTGTGAGTTAACCGCTAGAAATATCTTGGTGAACCGGCTGACAACACTTAAACTACCCAAGTAGGAAAAGAAGAGTTGATCGTATCTGAATCATTTGTGATGCCAAAGGTCGGAAAAGGACACAGTGATTGAGTGACAGACGTGACGTGAATGCTGAACATGTCACTGATGGGTTTTTTTTAATTAAATTGCTCTTTTAGATGTCTCTGACACATTTTAATGTGATTTTATTTTAACTAAATTTGTGTGAAAAACCTACAAGTTACAAATTCTTACATGAACACATGAATAGCTATGTTGTTTTCCCCAAGAAATATTGAAAAAAAAGGAGAAGGAGACCCTCCGTCAATCTGATTAGTGGGACTGACTGCATGTCAGAAAGACACATATGCATTGACTTTGCTTACAGTAATAAGATCTCTGAAAAAGCTTATAATAATTAAAGAAAAAAATAATCTTGAGGTTTAAGGATCACATTTTTGTACCATTCTCCAGGAAACGGGCCCAGTGAGAACCTGCGGTCAAGTCTCGTGGATTAGCAGAAATCCTCAAACTGAAACGAACTCCAAGCGTCAATGAAACAAGATCAAGGTCATCAGTGGTCAGGATTTGGCTCAGGAATTCATATTCACCGTTCAACAACGGCGAATTGCAGAAGCAAAAGTTTGAGTTTTCATGTTAAAGGGGCAAAGACACAAATGACAGCGTCTGCATCCTTGCCAAAACATTTGGACACGTCCCTCCAACAGCGAATCGCTGCGATAAAACACCTTCAGTCGTTCTGTTGATTAACCTTTATTTACCAGGTGAGTTATTAAAAACAGCTTCTTGTTTGCGATAACGACCCAACGTCTGACCGTCGCTTGAAGATGCCCTGAGATTGATCAAAGCTTCAAATGCGAGACTGTGGAGACAGTTGTGATCTTAGTCTCCCAGCAGAAAAGCACGAAGATGGGGTGCAGAGAAGTAGGCAGATTGATTTTTCTCCTCTTTTCAATCCCTTTTGTGCGGCTGCCAGCTGGCCAGACAGAAGCGGAGATTTCTGGAGTAGATTTATGCTGGGTGGTGGGTCTGAAACTGGCTCCAAATCAGGATGGCCTCTCACTAAAGTTTTAATAATGATGCTGTTAGAATTTGTGTGGCGGATTCTGGCAGCTCCGGCGAGGCTGGCCTGCCGCTCTCTATTCTGTTTTCTGTCAACTGTGCACACACACATTCAGACCTGTGAAGACCAATACGCTCATATGCATCCATGTCTCACACACACACACGCACGTCTTCTACCTCCTTGACTTCAACTGGTTCTTGATGAAATCACCAGAACAAATATTCACGCCATCTTATTTTAGAGCACCGGCTCTGAAAGTTTTGGACTCCATCTGGATTGAGATCAAAGTGCGAATGAATCCAGATTCAGTTCACACTGTGTTTTTATGGCAAGCTCGGCCAAACCGTAGCAGTCTGCGTCAATACCGTCATTCATTAATTCCAAGCAAGGTTTAGTTTGTGAAAGAAATTCATTCTTTTGGCAAGTTTTCACCATAAACAAATAATTGGAACCGTGAAGAGAGCATGTGTTAGGATGGAGTTTGAAGATATATCAAAACAGAGAGGAAGCAAGCTGAGCTTATCCTAGCCAGATAATACTCTGTACCAGAGATCCACATTGGAAGAGAGATGAACATTTACTGAATGTGTGAAGTCAGACGATCCTAGAGAAATAAATGTTAACATTTTGAACATTAATCCTGATGAAATGTTAGGGAAACTACAAGTTAAAATCTGAAAATGTTTTTTGGTTTGCAACTAGGAACATTTCTTTACACGCAAATGCTAATTATTTTAAAACGAATCTTGAAAGACGGTAGACTTTTCAAGGTTTTACAAAACCAAAATATAAACTCTCATATTTTATTTATTATAAAAATAAAAAAAAAAACGAGAAAAAAAATGAAACTGGAATCTGGAAGAAGACATTTTTCCTCTCTGCTTATCTGTATGTTTCACATGAGGTGTTTTGATTTGCAGTTTTTTAAACGCAAAGTTGCATCAATTGTGTTATTATTTACTGAATGACACTTTGTGACAAAAGTCATGAACATTCATGAAGACTCCACGACAGCATCATGGTTATCAAACCCCTTCAAACAAAGTGTTATCACAAAGCTTAGCTTAGCACACACTTAATTATCGTTGAGCACAGAAACGAAGGCGTACGGAAATGTTCCGATGAACACTGCTCAATAAAACAATTCTTTTTCTGTACCAAAAAAAACCAAAGCAATAAATGTAAACAAAACTTAAACACACATACAAAGTGTGAACTGCGAGAGAAAGTAAGACCAACACGGGAAAGCACAGCCACACACACACACATACACACGCGCACACGCCCACACACAATCTAGTGGTTTCCAGTGGAGCAGAAATACCATTATACAGTTAACTGTACATTACAAATGGGCTGCCAACTGTCTCTGGAGTATCACATGACCACCGGCGGCTCCTGCAATTGGCTGGCTGGGTGAACGGCAT